TGGTAAAAGGAGGTACGCCATTCGTGCTGTTTTTTTTTATTTTTTTTTGTCTACAAAAGGAATTAAGGACAAAGCCTTTCGGCGCTAACTAATGCCATTTGTGGAATGCGCCCCTCATTCGACCTCCATCGTAAGAACGTTTGAATGCGTGTGTGGCCTATGCAATGGCTAAAACAGAGACCAACAATGTGCAAGTCGAAGCTTTCCCATCCCAGACGAGACTCTTACCAAAGAGCAACGTAAGGCTTGGTTGGCCAGGACGGGTTTCAATCCGGCTATCCGGAACCACTTCGCACTACACTACACTTGCCCGCTTTATTTACAGATGTGTTTACAGATATATAATATTTACAGTCATGACTAGAATGAACTTGACTTCCGATGATGATTCGAGTAGCGATTCGGAGCAGAATGGAGATTTTTGAATGGATGAATTTCATTTAGTGATCACACCCCGCCGTTCGGCCTGAGTTTTCTGGCACACTCTGTCCACGACAGATTTCAACCCCGCCCCCTAGTTGACCTACGCCCTTCTGTACAAACATCGAATTTCTCTGAACGAAGCTCTGAGATAAAATCAGACCTGCACTTTATTAAGGGCACATTTTCAACCATCTGTCAATGAATTTCCATTTCAGCACTAAACGTTTGGTCATTGGTGTCTTCCTCATCGCTATCATTTTACTTATCGCCGCCATAATAATCATTATCCTATTCCTGACAGGAGGTTCGTTCAATTTTTTGCTGTACTTTTACAAATTTTGCTTTTGGACTCGAGTTACAGCCATCCTGAAAAGTAGTGGTTCGACTGCAAATGAGCCCTTAGCTGACAAACACTAACCTTTACTGGTCGGTTTACATTAGCGAAGTGACGGGTCCCTGTTCTTTGTAGCGTTATCACAATTATATAAGGTACCATTCTTACACGGTTTCTTCCTCTATCAGCACCAATCAATCCAATCGATATTTGTGCTCATCGGCACTGCGCCGTTCAAAGTTGGGCGCGCCACAACCACGGAATGGCTCATAATTGTGACCCACCATTATTAACAAAAAAAAATAAAAAGGGTTCAAAGGAGACATGTCCCAAGCATGACTGCCTTTCGAGGGGACCTTCCTTCCTGAGCCTATTTCCTCTTCCGTGCAGTTTATTGAATAAAATATGGGTGGGAGCATCATCATATAACAGGCCAGTGAAACGGGTTAATTTTTAAAATGCAGCTATCCGAAAAATAAACGATAATTTCGAGATATCACCTTGGAAAACTATCTAAATCATCTACAAACATAGAACTTTTACTAGCACTGTTCCACTTATGCACATGAACTATTTTAGTGATTTCTATGGCAAGAGAACCTTATATCATGGACATAACCACAGCGACATTGCCACCAGTGGTATATCCGCCTTCACCGTCGATTCCAATTACTCAGACTCCAATTCTACCTCCAGTTGTCGCTATACCGGTTAATTCTCATTACTTTTTTTTGAGATTCGCCATCACACAAATGTCATCGCCAAGACGTTTCAGAATTACACGTATGCGGGAACTTTTCTCTTACTACGACAAGCAAATCCAGCCTACGACACGAAAACTTCCGAAGTCTTCCGTTCAGCATTCACTATGATTCAGTCAGCTGTAAGTAGTACTTCAGTACAGTAACCTAATTGTATATTTCCTGTGGATGGACTAAAAACCTTGCTCTGAGTCTATTCTGTCTTTGATAGCGATTACTACCATGTAGCCCTTCGAAATCTCCGAATAGTGAGCCCTACTTTTTAGCTGACAGCAACGGTGGCTCATTCTTCACTACAATCTTACAATCCATTCGTTGCACTGAACGACATACAGAACAGGTAAATCATCATAATTGTTTGTTTCTGCGTTTTTTTTTTTGAATTTTTAAAAGTCAGCGGCTCACTGGACGAGTTGCATGCCAGTGGGCGGAGTGTGTGCTACCGGCGTGGCCAACAAGTGGCGCCATTGGCGGATGGCTGCCCGGACCCCGCCCACAAGCTTACAGCGCCGGCTTGACAGCTGCACTTAATTTTTTAAGTTCTTGTTTAAACGATCATTTCAGAGGAGCCGACTTACTCGTAAGCTTCCGATTAGAACTGCAATCTCGAGCTCCTCTCGACACACGAGCGATTCAGAACACTTTGCGTGGTGAACGAACGAATATCGAAGCGGAGTTGGGTTTAAACGCGTCAATCGATCCGCAAAGCATTACTGTAACACAGACCTTCAAGTGATTACGTGTAACACATTTCACTTCAAATTATAGCCCTAGTATTTGACACATATTTGATGTAGGCAGAACTCTTCTGCTCTAAATTTGCAAACTACATTTTTACATTGTGCTTTAGCATAATAATGTAAATATAATAATAGGTCTAAGGCGAATTTGTACATGACCTGTACCTTCATGACCTCTTTTCAGTTATGTTCCCGGTAATATGCATTTTAAGGACAATGCTAATGCACTTCTCGTTCTCTGCCAATTCTTTTCACTTCATAATAATTTGAAAAACATGTGAAAATGCATAGCTAGTTAATAATGATAGTTAATTGTAATAATAAAATATTGATTTTTTTCTGACTGACATGAATGCTAGCCCATGCGCAACGTCTACAGTCCGGTGCGGGAAACGCACACGATGAGCTTTCATTGGTGGAACGACATTATGCACCAATAGTAGGCTTTCTTCGCGCGATATTGCCCCGCCTTCTCTAACAAGGTGAAAAGTGAGAATGAGTAATCATTACAGTAAATAGCATATTCCAGATTAACGTAGATCGAGATCTACTCAAATTCAGAGGTGAAAGAAGCTCCATGAATACAACTCAACCTGACTTGAAGAAATCTCTCTCACTGTCTCTCGAGATTTTCGGGTATAATGGCTCATGAGGTTTTCGGGTATAACGGCGAAAAAGGCAACCTCAGTCAGGCGCGCCATGGTAACTGCGATAGCCCATAGCTGGTCGTTTGGCCGTTCGATATTCCGAACCATTTTGGCGATTTCGACCATGGACCAGGTCTTAGAGTGTGGAGCCCCTTGAAGCAGACCGGCGAATCTTCCAATCCTTCGATAGACCTAGGATGAACGAAAAATCGTTGTTAGTTCTAATGAACGTGCCTGTATATATGTGATGAATTGCCGTCCGCCATAGGTTTTGCATTAGTGCGACCAGATATGAACGACGGCGAAGAAAAACCTTCTATGGAGTTGGCCTTAACCTCCGACAGATGTGGTGTATTTCTGTGGCCCCGCCACCAACCACTGAATGAAATCCTTTCGTTGAAGCGCTCTAGTCCGGTCAACAGTAAATGACGTCTTTTTTGTAAAACATGTAACCAGTTCACGCCAAATGTCCATTTGTACCGATGGAGACTTCTTTTAGAGCATTACTTCCGGCTTTTCTCACTTTTTCCAGATCCCACTTTCAATTAACCTGTTGGGGACTCCATTATTAGGCATTCGTAGGGATGCAGCTGTCCTGACAACTGAGCCCGCTTCACATACCGCGGCCTCTATTTTTGACTTTGTTCAGAAGTACATAAGAAGTACATATTATACTAGTAATCAGAGCTTCTTACTGTCTCCATCGCCTGCTTTGCGAAGCTGACCGAAAACCCATAAGTATGCTCCTTTTTCACGACCCAAAAAGCACGATCATCAATCCGTATGGAACCGGCTTTACATTGAACGTACTTCTGTAACGCTCGAAATCATTCATGGAAAATTAGATGGTCGAGATATTTCTTCTCCTTGAGCTGGGGCCAGTTACAGATCCTCCCGCGCCCAGGTGCCTAAGCGGATTCTCATTGGCCAGTGCAAACCCTGGCTCGTCTGTCATTGGCCCATGCCACGCTTACTGATGCAATTTACTGTCGGATTTTTTCCCATGGTACCGTAGTTCTCATTAATTTCGATTTTCTCCCGCTATTTTTTACAGGATAGCTATCAACATCAAATTCGAGCTTTCCGTTGTATATGGATGTGCTAAAGCGGGCAATGGGGCCCGTGTCATCGTCATAGGGCGCCGCTAACCCTATAGCACGCCCCATCTACGCTTTCGGTTGAAGGATTGGGCCTCAAATCGAACTCCTCTTCCAGGCTAATCGAATTTTCCGTTCGTTCATAGTCCGTGAATCGGTACGAGACTCGTTTCACTTTTGAGGGAAGTCAAAGGTACACTTCAACTTAACCTTGAATACTTGCGGCCTAGCAATTATACATTACTCTGTCCCCTACACATTCACCACGCGTCATCGCCCGGTCTTATGTCCTTTCGTTTCTGAAGAAGTTCACGTTTCAAGTCCTACTTTGGTTTCTCGAAACATTTCGGGATTATTGATTGTTGCCAAACAATCGATGCGTCTAAGCATCCATCTAAGCGATTGTTTGAATTACTACCCGCCTCTTTTGATTCATCAGTTCGATCAAGTACTGGCCTTCGTGCCTTAAAGCGGGTCGAATATTCTATTTTGGTAAATACGGTTAGGCTATGCTCTCAACGTGTCCTGCATTCATATTTTTTAATGGTCACGTTCACTTTTGATGCATTTTAATGATAAGTTAAAAGGGTATCTATTGAGTAGTGGGGTCCAAAAATGTTAACCAGCCAAGAGTAAGAACTCACAACCCATCGAGGATTATAAAAGTGGCCTGAGCTGAGCGGAATTCTATTAATCTGGTTTTTTTGTTGTCCAGTGACAAAAAAAGGCTATTCAAAAGTATGAACGCTGGTCGAGTCCAATCAGTGACCGGACCTTTTGACCCTCTCATTTGTAGAAGTTTCCCCAGTGTTTTCCGAGATAGGTCTCATCAGTGAATCGTCTGTTGAAGAAATGATTTGATGACCTCTGATTCATTGACTTACAGCTTGATTTAATGTAATTTCAAAGGATCCAAAAGAATCCAAAGGATCCAAATAGGTTATCATTCGATCCACTCGACTATTCCACGTAAACATTGCTGATACCTGAGCTGTATAGATCCCCGATGAATTTGGGAATTCAAACTTATTCGGCTATACTAGTAACAAGAAGTTTATCAGAACTTTTCCTCATGCTTCAAACGTGGCAAACTCAGCATTCATGCAGTTTTTCCCTTTCCCACTGTATCATCTTTTCTTCTTTCTTATCGTTGGCACAGTCCGCTGAGCATTTGAAAACTCGTCCAATCTGTCCAATGTTTCTTTCCAATGACCAAGTGTCTTCTCGAGCGGAAATGATGGGTGTTCTAGTCGTGTTGAGTGGATTCCAGACGTCAATCTTCGTCGTCATTGTCGTCGGTTAGCTAACAGGCCGTCGGCAGACATCATGGAGCCGCATCCGCACTCCTGTCATGCATACGTTTTTACATGAACTTTCGGATAGTTCTGGGGCATTTGGGCAACGTTTCAAGGCCGGTTCCATTCTTCCGCTTTATTTGTGCCGACAGCCATCGTACAGGCTATATGTATGTACAATTATACATAGTGCATACCATTGTATTCTTCTTTGACTGCCTCCATCACTACGAAGACCGTCGGCACATTTTCTTCGCAACACTGACCACACACTAACCCGTTTTGCTTTGTCGAAGATGTAGTTGCCGGTTTCTTTTCTTGATAGGAACCACTACCATACTGTAGCACTAGCCGTTTTACACGAATTCGTCCATGCTATAGACATTCGACTGGTCTCGTTTCTTCAAAAACTCACAGCTTCTCTTATTTTCCGTTTTTCCACGGTCAACTCAGCTACAGAGCCAGCTGTCACGGTTACTAAGTAGTAATAAGGTCTCCAAGCGGCTTCGGTCGTAATCTCGGCCAGGTTCCTCTACAATGATGTATGGAGCAGGTATTGGGGATTGAGGGATAGGTCTACGGTATGGCTAGGATAAGTCTATGTCGCGGACTCCTAACAAGTAGAACGCTTGGAGTTAGTTACTCTGATTTTCCGGTTCGGATAAGCCACGCGTTTAGCACCCCTTCGGAAACCAAATGATACCTGAGCGACTGCATGGTCAAAATAGTA